AATCCCAGCACTTGGGAGGCTGAGGCAGGACAATCACTGTGCCAGCCTGGGCTACTACACTGTGAGCTCCAGGTATCAAGACCCTGTCTCTAAAAAAAAAAAAAAAAAAAAAAAAAAAAAAAAAAAAGACAGAGAATTGGAAAAATATTTATGGCAGGCAAAGGTGCAAACTAGGTATAACCCAAAACAAGTTAAATTAGTCAAAGGCCAATTCTGTGTTTCTCTTTTTTTCTCCTATATAGACTTGAGAAAACTATTTAACCTGTGTTAGCCTATTTTCTGCGTTGAAAGTTGAGGAACAGAAACTTCATGCTCACAGAATATTTACGACTATTAAGTCAGATGGTTCTGAAGCGAGTGACATGTTTAAATTCAGCACACAGGGGCCATTCTTAGTATGAATATCACTAAGGTCACTCAAAGGAAAGGGACAATTCACCACAAGGAAATACAATGATGTTTACAGTAACAGTAATAGTACTATATTCATATCAGCAAATAAGTGTTAAAACAATATGATGCTGGCAATGCAAAGAAAAGAGATGATAGTTAAACGAGTATGAAAATTTCAGACAAAAGAATCTTAAGTGTTTAAGATCTATTACATAGCATAGTTAATATAGAAATAAAGGTGTATTGCAAATTTCAAAACTACTAAGTGAATTTCAGTTGTGCCCCCACAAAGGATGGTAAGTACTGGTAGCTAGATATAATATCTTCATTTAATTATTCTACACTGTTGCTAAGTCATAGCATTACTTTGTTTCCTATAAACATATAATAGGCTGTCAATTTACAAAATTTAAAAACTAATTTTGATGCCATCAATCTTGTATCAATATTTTTATTTTTTTATTTTGGTACAGGGTCTCACTTCAATTTTTAAAAGTGGGTGCACAACTCAGCATCTGCTTGCCTAACCCAGGTTCAATGCCCAGTACTATAAAAAAAAATTTAAAATCTTTGCAGCGTGCCTATAATTCTAGCACACAGGAGGTTTTGGCAGGATCACAAAGCTGGGTTACCTAGCAAGTTCAAGGCCAAACTGCCTCAAAAACACAAGAGAAGTTAAAGAAAGCACACACACACACATACACACACACACACACACAGCTAGGCATGGTGACACACTTCCCAGCACTCAGGAGGTGGAGGCAGGTATATAACTTTTTCTTGTATATTTAAATAATATATTCTTCATTATTTATGGTTTCAGCAGCACCCAGAATACTGGTAGTGATTCACCTACCATGAACACAGCTTTAGGGGTTCCCCCAGCGTTTGGGTGTACTCACATGGTTGCAGAGGCCCCCACTTGTAATTATTCCCCTTTCCCTCTTGGTCTAACCTGGGAAAGAAAACTTACTTTATAGTTGGTACATGAGGCACAGTACGTCTGCCCTTGGCTTTCTCTGGAGAACACGTACTCTTTTTCAAAGTACCTTGAGTAGTGCCCTCTTCTTCCCCTGGTTTCTTGCTGTTTTGAGAACTTGAGTTTAAAAGGACGAAAAACATATACTCAATTCCCATGCATATTTCACACCCCTCTTCCCAAATGTTCTCATTTGTAGCATAATAAATATGCTCTAATCACAAAATGGTTTTAAAAGTATCATTAGATAATTACACCAGCCATGTCCAAATGAGGCCCACAGCTTAAACATTACGTAAGTGAGGAAGTACTATTGTGGGTCACATATAAAAATATAGTTAATATTTGTTAAATTTAAACAAACTGCCTTCTTAGAAATATACTTTTTCTGGGCCGGGGAGATAGCTCAGTAGAATAAGCGCTTGCCTGGCAAGCACAAGGGCCTAAGTTCAATCCCTGGTTCTGAAAAAGCAAAAAAGAAATATACTTTTTCTATAGACTGCTAGATAGTGTTGGATTGTTTAGCTGAATTCAAACACCTTAGTATTTAGATGCCTATAGAATATTCACCTCTGACAGGACTAAACAAAAAAAAAGGGGGGGATACAAAGAAAAGATCATTTTATATTTATATATACAAAATAGTTAGGATAGATATACAGCTACTTTTGCTTAACTCAATGAGAAGAAAGAGGTGTACTAACAGTGTTTGGACAGGATATCCTGTCTGCTTCTTGTACTCTGGATAAACACTAAGAAGATAACAATGTATAATGTATTGATTATCAAAACTGTCCTATTAATCAGCTTTGAAACTGTCTCATTCATATTTATTTCTCAATAAAATAAAAAAAGAAAAAAATAAATACACTTTTTCTTACGACATAGGCCTGCTGAACCTCACGCTCCTGGAGCAGTATCTCCAGTGAGTCAACTGTGAGGAAGCCTACGGAGTCCAAGGTAGGCCCTGGCCAGGGGTGGTTAGGAGGGTAAGAAAAATTCTATCTGCTCATCATCAAAGAGCGAAACAGCAGACACTAGTTACCTTCCTACTCTCCATTCCATCTCTTTATTACAAAGAGCAGCAAGGTACCAAGCTACTACTAAGTACTGCACTCACTTCGACAGTCTACTGCAATTGGGGAGCCCCAGTGACAGACTGGGCAATTAAGATGTAATTTAAATGCTTCTGAGAAAGATTTCTTTCTTTCTTTCTTTCTTTTTTTTTTTGAGTCAGGGTCTCAATATGTAGCCCAGTTTGGCCTCAAACTCACCATAATCCTCCTGACTTTTGGTACTAGGGATTGAACTCAGGGCCTTGCACTCGCCAGGCAGGTGCCTACGCCACTGAGTTATCTCCCTAGCTACATTTTCTTTATCATATACTCATTTTTCTCTTGAACATGGCCATTATGCATATAAATACAGCAGTTATCTTGTGGCAGTGAGTTAGAAATCAAAGGAAGCCAGCTATAATAATTCTGTACTCCCTCACTTGGGAGGCTGAGATAAGTACTTTAAAAAAAAAAAAAAAACTAAGTTATCACAGGTGATAGCTTGGCATCATCATTCAGCAACTGAACCAAAGCAAGCAATAAACTATATATAAACTTCTATGAAGTAAAGCAAGTCACTATCATTTAAACATGCTAGTTGAATACTGTTTGCCACAAAATAGATCCCAACCAACAAAAATAGGAAAAAATGGGGTCAGGGAGGTAGCTCAATGGAATAAGCACCTGCCTAGCAAGTGCAAGATCCCGAGTTTGATCCTAGGTAGCACATAAAGAAAAAAAAAAAAACAACAGCAAAAAAGTGCCATTTATTTGGCTTGTCCTTAACCATAGGGTAAAGTCCATGTCAACTAAAGCGTGAGTCACCCACACAACACAGGTAACAATTCTGCTCATCATGGTCATGGTTTAAAGAGTTTCCTAGGGTGCAGATGTACCAGACTGAAGAGGTACTCACCTGTAATTCTACTCAGTTCACTCAAAAGTTTATCTAAATTCTGGAAAAGAATTTAACTTACAGGTGGTATACAAAGAACAGTATGTCTATGTCTCTCCTTGGCAATAAGAAGAGTGTCCATTCGCTGGGCACGGTGGTGCACACCTGTAATCCCAGCACTTGGGAGGCTGAGGCAGAGGTCTGGCTTGAGCTCAAGGCCAGCCTGGGCTATACCCAAAACTCTGTCTCAAAAAAAAAAAAAAAAAAAAAAAAAGTTGTGTCTACTTACATTTTCATTTTTTTGGATGGTGGAGTTTCACTGATTACAGAAGTGGTACATCTCTTTGCTTTCATGGGAACATGTTTTTCTTTCTTCAAATCTTTCTGAGCAGAAAGTCTAAGAGATCGCCTATGGTAGAAACATAGTTAAAAATTTTTAGCAATAATGAACACATCTACTATAAATACACAAATTTCTTCAGAAATGTGAAAGTATGTCAAACTACAAAGAGCTATGGAAAATTTAGTAAGGGGGGAAACAGAGACTTGAGATGTGTTATGCACATGCACTGAATCCCCACAGTGAATGCAAACACTATGTACTGCAACATGTACTCATAAAAATTTTAAAAGCTTTACAAAATGTAACTATCTGGGGCCAGGAAGATGGCTCAGTAGAATAAAGCCCAAATTCAATCCCCGGGCCCCACCCACCACACGGGCCAGAACTGGGTGTTGTAGTGTATGCCTGTAATCCTAGCACTTGGGAGGCTGAGCCAGTAGGATCTCTGCCAGTTCAAGACCAGCCTGGGGGCTACAAAAGCGAGCACAAGGCCAGCCCACAGTGCACAGTGAGACCTTGTCTCAAAAAAATAAAAATAAAAACACCAATTAAAAAACAGGAGAGTGCAGTGAGACAGGCCTGTGGTCCCAGCTACTCAGGAAGCCGAGGCAGGAGGATCACTTCAAGTTTGAGGCCAGGCTAGACTATACACAGCAAGACCCTGTTTCAAAAATAAGCAAATAAATCTCTGATCCATTAACATGGCATGTCCTTTCAGTTATTTTATTTATTTATTTATTTATTTATTTTTTTTTTTTTTTGCAATACCGGGGATTGAACTCAGGCCCTTGCACTTGCCAGGCAAGCACTTACTCTACTGAGCTATCTCCCCAGCTCTTATCAGTTATTTTAGACCATGTTTAACTTCTCAACACTTTCTGAGCAAAAATCCTTAACAATGCAAGATATTATACAGGTTCAAAATGGTCAGAAGCAAGTGTTTCAGATTTCAGAGTTTTTCAGGTTTTGGAATGTTTGCATAGACTTTACCAGTTAAACATCCCCACCCTAAAAATCTGAAATGTGAAATGCCCCAAAAGTTTGTGTGTTGTATCACTGCTCAACTTTCAGATTTGGAAGCATTTCTGATGTTAGAACAGAGATGCTCAACCTCAAATTTTTATTTTATTTTTTGTATTTTAGTGTAGGTTCTACAGGGTGTTGAGGGTCTCACTACTAGATTGGACTCATAGTGATCCGCCTGTTTACAGCCTCCCAAGAGCTGGGATTAAAGGTGTGCGCCACCATGGCAGGCCCCGGGATCCAACGCTTTCATCCACTGAAATATTTGGCTGGCCCTCAACCTCAATTCTTGTTTGTTTGTTTGTTTGTTTGTTTGAGACAGGCAGGGTCTTGCTATGTAGCCCATGCTGGGCTCAAATTCACAGTGATCCACCTGCTTCCACCTCTCAAGTTCTAGGACTACAGGCCTATGCCACCATGCCTACCCTTAGATCCTTATTCTAGAGAATTTCCAAATATTTGAAAATGGAGAAAATATAATGAATGGCTAGGTATTCATTATTCAGATTTGAATATTATCAATTCATAGCAATATTCATAGCAATACTGTCTCAATTTCCCCATCCAAATTCCAAAATCTCACTTTTAACCTGTAAAAGTTAATCTCTATGAGAAAACATTCATTAAAAAACATGCATGTAATACAGAAGTGATTTATCTGACAAATCTTGCAAGTTACTACAGAATATAGATGCCATACAGGCATAACTTGAAGGCACTGCAAAGTAACCAAAAGCGCAGAGAAGACAGGAGGGAACATTTTTGCATGGCAACCAACAACTGCAAAGTCCTCGAACACAGCAGCTCCAGCAGCATAAAACTAGTCTCACGGGATGGAGATGATAGAAGACAGAAATTAAGGCCAAAAGAGCGTTTGGATATTTAAAAAGAATAGCCTCATTAAATACATTGTTTAGACACATAAAATGTGATAGCAAAATGTGAACAAAAACTGCACAAATCCCTATTTGGCTGCTAAATTATGAACACCCAGGAGCAACTGAGGCAGACAGACAAAACATCAGGCAGAAACTAGCAAGGCGTCCTTCTCTAAAAAGGGTAACTGTGCTGACTAAGACTGGTAAGGCTGTGTTTTGTGATAAGTTATTCTGCAACCGGTACATCTAGGCTGAGTGATCCTCGTCAGAAGTGAGTTTGGGTTTTCAATTAGCAGACTTTGGGACATTTGCGATACTTGAGATGCACTGACAATGGGACCCATCTCTAAGCAAGATGATTATTCATGCTCTGTATCTACTCTCTGGCGGGGGAGGGATGCTGGGGATTAATCTCAGGGCCTTATAGGAATCAAGCACACACTAACCCTTGAGCTAACCCCTAGTACCATATATTCACTTTACACATAGCCTACAGATAATTTTATATATTTTCATAATTTTGTGCATGAAACAAAGTTTCATAGTATGAAATTTTCTATAAGGCCAAAAAGTTGTAGACTTATGTCAGTACTCAAAATGGTTAACGTAGGGCCAGCAAGATAGCTCAGCAGACTAAGCACCTGCTTTGGCGAGCACAGGGACCAGGGTTTCATCCCCAGTTCTGCATGCTGCGCCAGCCCCACCACTGGAGTGTGCGGAGCTGGCGACTGAGTCTGGGTGTGGTGTCATATGCCTGTAATCTCAGAGCTGAAAACAGGAGGATCACTACGAGTCCGAGCTGCGTAGCAAGACCCTGTACCAAACACATGAATTAAAAAAATAAGGTTAACTTAAATACATTTTCTGATTAGGGTATACAATACTTAAGTCTTCTAGTTTGAGGTATCATAAGACAAATCGTGGGCCTGGTTAAAGCCTCTGAAATTTCGAATGAAAAACAAATGGACTTACATGTTCTCTACAAGTTATCAAGAAGAAAAAAGCAGAAAGAATATGGTTATATATACAGTCTAAATATATATTGTTTAAAAGCCAAAAGATGAATTAAAACACTTAAAAAAAATTCATTTGAATGAGGACTAGGATACAGCTCAATAGCAAACACTTTTCTACTAGCATGTTTCAGGCCCTGGGTTCAATCCCCCCTACTGTAAAATAAGTATCTGATTGATACCAAACAGGAAAGGAAAAACCAAACAATAACAATAGAAAAAAAAGATGATGAATAAAAAATTAAGACGACAGATATAATCTTAACAAAATTAGCAATTATAAAATACAAATAATAAATAAAAATTGTAAACATTCTAAGCAAAACTCAAAGATTATGTTAGACTGGATAAAAAGAACAGGATCCCAAGCCTGGAATGGTGGCACGGGCCTATAGTACCTATAGCACTCCGGAGGCTGAGGTAAGAGGATCACTTCGAGTTCAAGGCCACTCTGGGCTACATAGTGAGTTTAAGAACAGCCTGAACTACACAGCAAGACCCCATCTCAAACAAAAAAAAAGCAAGGGGGGAGCTGAGGCAGGAGGATCACCACAATTTAAGACTAACCTGAACTACATAGTGAAATCTCAACAACAACAACAAAATCAAAGGCAGGAGTAGGTAAGTAACTCAATGGTAGAGTGTATGATTAGCATGCACAAGGTCTTGGATTCAATCTCCAGCACCACAATAATAATAAATAAAAGGCAAAAGTAGGATGAAAGTAAAAGGAAAGAAAAATACTATATATACATAACAATGAGAAAACTTAAATGACACTGAAAACCAGGCTAAGTGGTGAGTGCCTGCAGTCTCAGCTACCCAGGAAGCTCAAGAGGAATTTGAAGCTACCCTATGCGGTAAAGCAAGACTTCAACTCAATAAATAAATAATAAATACAGAAACCTAAAGAAATAAGAGACACTTGACCTTAGGAAGAGGTAACAATTATATAGCTCTGAAGTGTTAACTTTAGGAAGAACTACTCTAACAAGGCCATTTTGGAGAAGCATCAGAAAGCGTTTACAGTATCACGACATTAATCATACTGCTTTGCTTCATCACGTGCATTGAGTTACTGGGTTTTAAACCTATTTATTATACACACACCATTTAAGCCCCCAATGTATGGTCTTACCTCTGAGGCTGGGCTGGAGTGTTTCTTGATTTGGTGCCCTCAACTTCCAGGGTGCAACCAGCACTCAACAAATTCGAATATTCTGTAAGATTTGTGTTTTCTGCCTCTTTGTAGTAAGTGTTCTCAACTGTGGAAGACCAAAAATTAGAACTCAAATCCCAAAGGAAGCCTACCTTGCTTATACACTGTATACGTGTATCAAGTTATCATACTCTACCCCATAAATATGCACAGTTTTGTGTCAGTTAAATTTTTTTATTGAAAAAACTATTTTAGGGGCTGGGGAGATGGCTCAGTGGAATAAGTGCTTCCCTGGCAAGCGCAAGGATCTGAGTTCAATCCCTGGTTCCGCAAAAAAAAAAAAAAAGAAAACTATTTTAGTTGAAGCAGAAATGAAATACCAAATGCCAGCATTTGCCAACCACAGATACCATGTCAGAAAAATCAGAAAGAAAGCATTCCAAACACATCTTCATCACATTGTAGAACACCAGAACTCCAATACAAATTTTGAAAGCTTTCATGGAAAAGAAATCACTGCAAAACAAAGACAAAAAGACAAACAAGAAACCTACTGTCAACCAACTTAACCTAGCTTCGAGCTAATGTCCAGCACATAGCAGGTTCCACATTCTTTTGAAGCACATACAGGACATTTATCAAGACAGACCATACTGCAAGCCAGGGAAACCCATCTCAGTAGAGTTAAAAGGATTCAAGTTGAACAAAGTATGCTTCTGACCACAGTGGCATTAAATCTCTAAGAAATCAATGTGAGAAAACCCCTCTCAAGTATTTGGAATAAATAACATACTTCTCAATAACATATGGGTGTTATTGAAGATTTCAAAATGAAAACTGTATTTTGAATGGAATGAAAATGAAAATTGAACATATAAATTTGTTGGATGCCACTAGAGCACTAGAAAGAAGGGCTTTCAAACCCAAGACTTCCTCTGACATCTTAAAAAACTATAAAGGGTCTGAGAATGGTAAGAAAGTAGACCTGGGTTCAAGCCCAAACTAAATTTTTTTTGGGGGGAGGGGCGGAGAGGTGCTGGCTCAGGCTGCCTTAAGGGCAGGTCTGGTAAGGCATGTGGATCTGGGGATCAAACTCTGTCCCCTGAGTCTGACTGGGTTTGCCTGAGCAGGTGCTTCAACAACTGAGCTAACCCACAAGTCACCACCAACCTAATTTTTAAAAGTTAGGTTTTTTTTTTTTTTTTTAAAAAAAGCTGACCCCCATGAGGTGGCACATGCCTGTTACCCATACTCTGGGAAAGAGGTAGGAGGATTTCAAGTCAAGGCAGGAGCTGTAGCTAAGTGGCAGAATACTTGTCTACCATGTGCAAGGTCCTAGGTTCCTGCAATCCTCAATTCAGGACAGGGGAAGTGGGTGGCATTGCAGTGGGCTGGGTGGCATTGGGTGGGAATAGAAATGCATAAAACACAACAGAAAGTAGAAAAACATCAGTGAAGCCAAAAGTAGTTTCTTTTGAGAAGCTCAGTAACAGTAATAAATCTCTAGCAGGCCTGATCAGGAAAATAAAAAAGACACAATTTACCAGTATTAGGAACAACAGACGTGACATCATTATAAAAATCTATAAATATTAAAAAGGACAATAAGGAAATATTATGAATAATTTCTTGCCTATAATTTTTTTTTTTTTTTTTTGTATTTTAGGGAAGGATCTACAGGG